CACAGGGACCGGCTGAGCACCCAGATGGGCTTGAGGCACCCAGACCTTCTAAGGCTGGCAGGGACGAACCTCTAATAAGCCTCAGAAGGCCCAGCTAATGGTGGGGGGGCTAGAGGAGGAGGGCTGCCTCAGTTTCCAAAGCAGGGAAGGACGTGTCAGTTGAGGAAATAAAAGGTGCTGTGATCAGGGGGGTAGAACACTTTCAGACTCTTCTTAGAAGAAACAAGACAGGAAAGCCTACCCCCAGGGGGAGGTCTTCTCTCTGCATGGAGCCCCCGCCTTCACTCTCCACCCCCTCGCTAAGGATGGCTCCCACTCCCAGCAGGGGCGGAAGGACCCCAGAAGACTCAGAGCCTTCATGAGGAGGAGCCCAGAGGCTCCCTCAGGGGGAGGTTCCTGGATGATTGAGAGAACAGCCTTGGAGCCCCAGCCTGTGTGTGTGCAGGTTGCCGAATGGGCAGGGGACTGCCTCTTAACCCCAACTTGACCCCCTGACCGCACTTCCCTGTAGAGCGCACCAGCCGGATCACTGTGTTTGGCTGCACTGGGAGGGCCCAGGAGGCTGGAAAGGCGCAGACCTACCCGGTGCAGGGAGAGCAGCCAGGGGCCGCGTCCGAGGAAGCCCTGCAGCACAGCCAGTGGCCGTTGAGGTAGGCAGAGGGGTGGTAGACGGTGAGGCGCTTCCTGTTGCACTGGCTCACTTTGGTGAGGATGTCGATCCAGGCCTTGGCCTCCACACAGTTGCTGGCCTGGATGTACAGCGCTCGCTCAGGCTGGATGACCTGGAACATCTGAGGAGACAGAGCATGAGCTCAGGGGGGGGCGCCTAGCAAAAGCTGTTGCTGGAACCACGAGGGTCATTATCTTTGATGCCTATAAGCCCCGGGGCTGCCGTGGGAGGGTCTGGAGTTATCCAGAAGCTCAGACAGCCCAGGGGCATCAGGAGTCTCTATTCGGAAAGCAAAGGCGTAGCACGGATTGTCTCCCCCATGGGACCTCCTGAAGTTGACTGTAGCTGTTACATAAATGGACTGGTTTCTTTGGGTTCCCTTATGTGCTGCGCTGCGGCAGACTTCTGTGCAAGGTGTCTCATAGCTCATCCTGCCCACCTTCCTGCCCTCATCTCCAGATCTGCCTCAGGGCCTTTGTACGTGCTGCCGTGTCCATCTGTGAGGCCCCTTTCTCCCCCACCGACCACCCTGGGGACTCTTCCTCCTTATCCCAGGCAGGTTTACTTCTTTCATGAGGCTTCCAGCCTGCACTGCCTTTCCTATTTATTATTCATCCAACAAACATTCCTAAGTACCAGGTACTGTCCTAAGACCTGGGGACAAGTGTGGCGCAAAAAGAGTTTCTGTGGTCCTGAGGTTCCAGCCAGCAAGAAAGATAAAGTAAACAGAGAGTGCAGGGGCTGATTGAGTGTGAAGCCTAATGGGAGGTCAGTATAGAACCTTCTAAATAAACAATCTTCCAGCTGAGATCAGAGGGTGACTAAGAGTAAATTAAGCTGGATGAAGTGTTCCGGGCAGCAGGGACAGTAGGTGCACAGGTCCTGGGGCAGCAGGAACAGTACATACAGAGGTCGGCAGAGAGGGTTGGGTGCGTCCAACAGGAGCAGTCCAGCTGGACACGGAAGGGGTGAGCAGGGGAGGCGGGCAGACAGAGCCCTGGGAGGCTCTCAGCTGGACGTGTCAGAAGGCATGAGGATGTCAAAGAAAGATGATGGTTGCCTTTTCCAAGGGGTGGGGTAGCATGCAAAGAAAGGAGAAAGGAACAGGAGTCGATGGGTTCTGGGAAAAAGAGTTTGAGTCCAAGTTCCTGAGTGAATGGCCAGGGCCCATTTCCAGAGACTGCGGTCCCCTTGTCCCGCCTTGCACTATTGCGCAGGCCTCAAACTGCACAAATCTGTGTATGGCTTTGGTCCTCAGTGGAGGGAGAGCCTCTAGAAGGAGGTCTTTTGTCCTGATTGTCTTCACAGGCTGGCCTCTCCAACAGGGCTCAGCATGCAGCAAGCTTTCAACAATGTTTCCCAAGTGGAACAGGACGTTAGCCTAGGAGTGCCATGGGAACCTGGCTTGGAGGAGGGCAGTAGGAAAAAACAGGCTGATGAATAAACGATGCTAAAATTAGGGGATTATTCTAAACCTAAATTAAGGGCCTGATGGAACGAAACAGCTCACAGCTGCTTCCAGGACATTTTCCACACTTGCATCCTTCCGTGGACGTCTGGGAATGCCGCCGACTAAGGGCACAGCGTTCCCAGCCCCCCATCCTGGAGAGGGTGAGGTGCAGACACACGACAGGATGCTGCCTGCAAAGGAGGCAGGCGGGCCTTCCAGCTCCTGGAGCAGGTGCAATGGTGTTAATTAACAGGAAAAGAAAAGCCCACATCTGCCACGGGGCCATGAGCTTGCCAAAGAAATGACCTCAAATAATCCTGGGGGAGGGACAAGGAACAGAGTTAAGAAGACAGGGCAGGGTGAGCAGGAACTGCTGTCTGCTGACCAGGCGACAGAACAGAGCCACCTCCTTGGTCGGTGCAGCAAACGCTGCCCACTGTGGGCCATGAGGCCAATCTCAGGCCAGGCGGAGATGTGAGCTCAAAACTCCTCAGCCCCATCCCTGACAAAACAGACCCACAGCGTGTTCCCCACCCCCCTCAGACCTAGTGTGGCCTTAGGCACCTACTGCATACCAGACCATTGAGCTGTGCCAGTGAGTGAGGGGCAGACAGACACAGAAGGACAGGGAAGAGGGTGGGTTGGGGCCTCCGCCAGTTCCCAGGAGGCAGCGCCTGGGGTCCTGTTTGATAAACCAGGAACTTGGCATGTCACAGAACCTGCTGAGTGCGGGAATGCCACTCGATGCACGGAGGCAGCGTGCTATGTAGAACGCTACGGGCCACCCTCCCAGGGGAACAGGACTCCAGCCCCCAAATAAAATGGGGCCCTGGGAGTCTTTATAGTCCTAACAAATAAATGAATAAGTTTTCATGGGTGAGAAGAGAAAGCTTTGCACAGTAGAAAGCCAAGAAAAAGTAGCGAGGGAATAACACAGTCAGAAAGTCACGGTGGATGGGGAAGAATTTGAGGAGGAACAGGATGCTAACACAGTTCAGTGCATCTCCCCACAAATCACTGATTAACTACAGAGCCATACCTCCTGACACCATGCACCCAGGGGACGAGGCACCTCTGGGGTTCCTGACAAAAACTCATCACCCAAACCTACCTGGCCGACCACCTGACACACCCAAATTGATGTATGTTCACAAAAACTGGCCTGCGTGCTTCAAAAACGCCAAGGCCACAAAACAATGAGAAATGTTTCAGATTAAGGAGACGACAGAGAACTAAAGGGACCATGTGACCCTGGATTGCTTGCTGGCCTGGGAAAAAACAACGGCTATAAAGAACATTATTGGGGCAACTGGCAAAATTTAAATAAAGACTGTGGATTAGTAATACTATTACGCAAGTGTTGGGTGTGCTGATTTTGGTAACTACACAGGGTTATATAAAAGAATGTCCTTGTTTACAGGCAATACACTGAATTATTTGTGTGGTTCAGGAAAAAATATATACATTACACACGGAGCCAGATGAGGCGGGGGCATGAAGGAATATGCTCAGTAAATGGGACAAAACCAATGATTCTGGGTTAGGGAGCACGGGAGGTCCTTGTTCTATTTGTGTAACTATTCTGCAAGTTTAAAAGTAAATCAAAATAACAGTTTCACAGAAATTCCACATGATCCCAGAGCCTGTCCCTGGTGTCTTTTAACAGAGGGTCCCTGGACCCCTGGAGCTGCCAGAGACGCGACCTTCCAGCAGGCTCTGCCCACCCTAGCCGATCCAGGCAGGGAGAGCCAGGCTGCTTTGCTCAGAGGCTCAGATGTAAAATCACACAGAAATATGTGAACACCCAGGTAACACCCCAAGAGCAGAAGCGGGGGCGGGGGCAGCTAGTAGGAGAGGAGGGACACAGCCCCGGAAGAATGCCTGGAGATGGTACACTCACGTTCTTCATCTTGAAGGATTCCTCTTCCAGTCTCTCCACGGCCAGAATGTTCTCGATGGGAATGCTGTAGAGGGGCTGGTCTCCTGGGACAGAGAGCGGTTAATGAGCTGGCCCGCCCAGAGGTAAACGACGCGTCAGGGGGAGGCGCTCGGGTCTCCCCTCCTTAGGTGAGACGGTTAAGAAACTGACAGACCACAGGCATGAGGGGGTCGAGGGCAGTGGTTAGGAAAGGCCTGAGGAAGGGGCCTTTGTGTCCACAGAACACCTGAGCCTCACACACTCGCTCTCAATAACACCCAACACCTGCGTCTAGCATGATGCTCAAGCCTCTCATCACACACTGTCTCCAAGAACCATATTCCCACATTTTTATGAGGAGAAGCTACTTTCTTACCATTCCATGATCTAGATCTGAGTCATTTCAGATCCCGGAAAACACAGCCAAAATAGAACGAGACTATCACTGTCCGGTGGGACCCTGATTCCCACACCCGGAGGTACGGGGCCTGCCTGCTGCCCTCCGCCTGCTACCCAGGACCCCCTTGTGGATGTCTCTTCCGCCCTCATTTAAAGAAACTGCTCACTCCGAGGGACACACCTTCTGTGCTCTTAGTTTCACTCTTGAAAAGCAGACGGTAACCCCAATGATGCTTAAACAAGGCTCTGGTCCCTCGCGATACAGATATGTAAAAATCAGGAAAAAGCAAATTTGTCGTGTTACCTTTGCTTTTCTGGTATGTAAATTCATGGTTTGTCAGGCGGAACCATCTTTTCTTAAAATTCTTCATTCCAAAGCGTTTTCGTCCTTGTGCCCTCTTAATCATGAACCTGTGGTGAATAGGTCGCGCTGATGGATGAATGTCCTACGGCTCGGGGGCATGTCTCTCACCCCCCTCCCCATCCTGCAGCCCAAAGTCACGTCTGCAAAAACAAAATAACTTGCCATTTTTGTATTTGTGATACCCACTGCAGACTGTCAATTTCAACATCTTATAATTTTATTTCCAAGTGATGGGGTTAAAAAATCAAAAGGCCAATGTCTCTACTTTAAAGAAGTTTAGCCCCTGTGCTGGTATTAACTTTACATTACAAGTTGGTGATATACTAGTAGCGGGCTTATCAGACCCCCAACAAAACAGCCAACCCTTCCCCATCTCCTATACTGAAAATATGGACAAGAGATGCTCTTCAAGAGAAAGGCTGGCAGCAGAATCACAGCGCCATGCAGGTGTGTTTTGGAAAGCAGAGACCAGTGAGGTGAAAGAAACACCTATTCTCTGGTAGGTACTGTGCTTTGGCGTCTCCTGACAGAAAATGCTTCAGGAGTGAGGGGCTGACGGAGGGAAAGGTGAGGCCTTGAACTTAGGCGTGAATGAGCCAACCGTGCAGAAATGCCCATTAAGGGGCCGTCTCTCATTCCTCTTTCTTCCCACTGACGGGCATTTCTCTGTTCTGCAGATTCAGCAGATAACAGGCACAGAGAAATGAAAGAAAACAAGTCCATGTTTAGATATGTCCTGGGTTAGTCTTGGGGCGTTTAAAAGTGATGGATGAAGGCCACACGTCTCCTGGGTCTCAGTGGCCCACAAAGGGTCTGTGTTACCTCTGACCCGGGAGGCCACTGGCCCCCCGCCTGCTGCGTTTCTCTCCTGCCTGCCCAGTGGCTCTGCCAGCCTTACCCTTCCTTAAGCAGGATGGGCTGCTCCACGCTCTTGGGGTCTCTTCTCCCCGAGGACGAGATCAAATCTAAAAACTGAAGTGGGGAAAAAAACAGACTATTAAAAGGGGAAATGGCACACTTGAATACATTTGTTCTTACATAGAAATGATGCTACAGGACACTGTGTGCCCCTTTCTGACACCACAGGAGGGAGAAGAATCTGGGAAGCAGGTGGCAGGGCAGTGGGTCCCTCTTTGAAAACTGTGGGGATCTTATGCTGGTCTCCACTGTGACCGAGAAGCTTCTAGCCCCCACCCCGACCTCCCGCGGGCCCCGTCCGGGGAGGTCTCCCTGCACCCCACAGTTGTTACTTGGCCTGAAAGGCTGCCAGGCTTCAGGTAACACCTGGGGGTTCTACCCGTATTTTAATAGATGACCCAGAGAATGCATCTCTCATGGAATTTGAAGCAGCAAAGGCGTTCCTCCCTGCCATCCTCAGCTCCCCAGAGCCCTCCCCCTGTGGCTTTGCCCAG